CCAAAATCTCTTCTCTTTGCATCTCAGGCATCTCTTCCAACCTAGTCAACAAAATCATTTGTCATATTGTCAGCGGTATTCCCGAATAAAGATATAAACTAGGATTGAAAATGGTTATTGGAGTAAATACACACCTCCTCCTGTCGTTCTCATCCTTGTATTTGCCTTCTAAAGGATACGGGTTGGCTGGTTCGGGATCGCTTTCGTCCATATCTGACGCTCCCAAGCTAAGTTGTTATAACATGAGCTTTGACATGGATATGACACGGTTTGTCAAGTACCCACTCTGTCCGAACTCGTTTCCGTGCTGAGCTTTTCCCTTCCGAAGCTCTCTTTTTACGCTTCTTGTCAGCCGGAGTCGTCGCAAGTGCATAAATTTCATCATCAAGAAAGTCGTCGTCGGACATGATTGCTACTTTGAAGGGTGAACGTTCGTGTCGCGGTCGAGAGTGGCAGCAAGTTGGGTTCAATAGAGAGACCAAAACAGACAACTTTAGATACTCATCGCATATCCGTGAATGAGGTGATAAAGATAACTTTTATTATAATAGGGTTAGTTCCATCCGATTCGTACCGCTTTACTACGAAGACGCCATTATAAACTCCGCTCTGCCCACTTCCATGAGGATTGCCCAAGCTTGACCTTCTGTAGCTGTACCTGGTCTGTCAAACCTCGGACTGCTACAAGTACCTCTGACCATGCCCCATTTGTCGACCTTTGCCACCGCTGAATTTCTTAGCGACTCTGCCTTTGCAGCCATGATCTCTTTCCACGCGTCATCAAGATCGGAAAAGTATCTCTTTACGAGTGAACCATTTTTGAGAAGCTGAAGGAGCCGGAAGATGGTAGCAGATATCATCTGGGCGAGGTTAGTCTCGACAAAGGTAGAAGGGTCATCGATAATATTATGAAAGAGGCCCTCGGTTGATGTAAGGTCATTGTATGAGAGGATAATGGGGAGTGTATATGTCAACAAGCCTGCCACTGAGCCTAGTCGCTTCGAGGTATCGACCTTCTCTAGCCAACGAAGGAACGCAGTTCTCACTGTGGTTTCCTGGGTGCAACGTTGTTCGAAAAATCTATCTAGAGCATTTAGTATCCGCACAATACTTCCCAATGCCCAACCGTTCCCCACACCCCATGCTTTGCTACCGTTCATGCCAGGACGAATGTCCACAGAGAATGCACGGGCATTGCAATCATAGATATGGCCAAGTAGTCCAGATGGCAATCGAAGAAAGTGGAAATAAAGTATCACTTGATCCAACGCGGAGTCGAGATATTGCCACCAACTTGTTCGTTGAGTAGAATCTGCTCCTTCAAACCTTTCAAGATCTGAAAGTGCATAGGACACCATGAATGTTGGTGCCATGTAAACACCGTCAATCCATAACTGCGGGTTCTTGTGTGACTTTGTATGGGATAATACACCCTGTCGACGTGCAAGTCAGTTGCGGATTAGGAGAACGGTCCTATTCACACCTGATCATGGTCTTTTGGCAAGAGGTTCTCGGGTATGTCTCCTTCGCGAATCTCCATCCTGGGAGCTTTGACGAGAAGATAATTCATCATATCGTCTATGGCCTTTCTCATTGGCTCAGCGGTGCTGTCACTCGAGGCAAGAATGTGCTCCAAAACGAAAATACCAGCTTCTCCGACGCATGCAGGGTCTAGTGCACCTCCATCACTGCCTTCATCGTCCGAGTTGACCCGAGTGGCTAATCGTCCATCAACGGAAGCTCGTAAGCAGGCCTCATGGGCCATTCCATAAAGATAAACCATAGGATCTACCTGCAACTTTGGGAGTAGATCTTGCTTTGGATATCTCGCGACGTAGTGTTCGTACTCCAATAACGCTTGAGCTGCCACTCCCTGTTCCCAAGACGCACGCTGCATCGTGAGCATGGCAGCAAAAATTCTTGCTAAATGCTGAGAATCTGTAGAACGCGACATGGTATTTTTTTGATGGGAGGAAGCGGTGTGGTCGAGTCGATGGATGATGCGGCGGTGGCGTGTGGCTCTGAACTGGAAACGCGCTTTGACCCCGGTGGTACCTGGCGCTGTGACATCCAAGAGCTCGAAT